CCCCAAAACCCCAAAACCCCAAAACCCCTTGCCGAATACTCATAATGAGTATAAATTTAGCACAGTTTTAAGCATGATATCTAATAATTATTAGTTAATATCTACTCAATGAACTCAAGAATACAAGCGAAACCTTCGAAAATGATTAAGAAAGCCAGACATGGCTACACTAGAAGCATTGACTCTACTAAGCACTCTACCTCTGTTCTGGATGAGTTTAAGGAACTTAAGACCGAGAGAGGAGATATTTATACCAATAAGTATCAAAACTTTAATAGTTCAACCTTTTCAAATAACAAAGCTTCTACTGAACAACTAGAACAAATAATCCAAGAGGTGCAGACTATTGACGAGAGAGCTCATTATGAACGCAAGCAGATTATGAACCAGCATTTTGACAGAGAATTCCAGACAATGGCCATGATGAAGGAACTGAAGTTCCAAAAATTCCTACAAGAGAAGAAAGATAAGCAAAGTAAGCAACATATTGAGGAACTTAAGAGGATCATCATGCGGAAGGAGGAGAAACATCTTAGTCAGATCCAGATGTATCAGAGCCAACTTAAAATGATGCAAGAAGGGAAGAGATATCAAGCATCTGGAGAGAAAAAGAGGTCTAGTTTGAACAAAAGCTTAAAACAGACTAACAATAAAAAGATACATAAAAATCTTCAACCTTATGAAGCATACTGAAATACTATGAGGAAGAAGAGATCCAAGAGGTCTAATAAGACTAATTCTGCAGCTTCTTCGCCAAGGAGTTCGGCCTTCTCTGTGACCCCATTCGAGGAGCAGAACGTCCCACCTTCAAGCTCAGCCATGACCACTCCGAAAAAGAGTGGCAAAAAGAGATATGAGAGTAGTGAATATTCAGATTATCTCATGACAACTAAAAGTGCCTCTAAGAGAGCAACTAAGTTCAGTTATAATACAAAGATGAAGAAATCTGGGAAGAGAAGAAAGTCTGGCAAATGCGCATCTTTTGTCTGCAATGCAATGGATTCGAGTAATCCCTCTCTTCTAAAAACTCCTGAGAAGGTAGAGGTACCTAGAAATCCAGAGGCAAAGGATGAAAGAGGATCTAAAGCAGATATGAATTTTGCTACCCCAATCTCTTTCTCACACCCTCCTACTGAAGAGCAATTAGTTCAAGGGGATAGTTGGGATCAAAGAGAAAAGATGCATCTTACTAAGAGCTTAAAGAAGGAAAATGGAGATCCAGTTTCTGCTATACAATTTTCCACTTATGACACCTCAAAAGACGCTTATAGTAGCGGAGTTATTCCAAAAAGAAGCTCTAACACAAATTCTAGAAAAAGTAAGAGCATAAAGTCTATGGTCACTTCACAAGCCAGTGAGAACATTGGAATTGATGTTGATATTGAAATCATAGATGACTCTGATTTCCAAAATTCAAGTGAGGATTCCCTCTACGATCCCAATAAGGAAAGAGCTCAAGACTTTACCGAAATGTGGACTCAGAATGTGAAGGATGAAGACCAACTGAAACTACTAAATAAAACAATGAGAACTATTGCTGAGGTCTCTGATGAGAATATTTCATCAAAGGATCATTCAAATCTGATCAAGTCTAAGAATTCTAAACCTTCTTTTCACTTGAACTCTGTAAATCTCTCACAGTCACAGTTAGACATAAATGTAAGCTATCTCTGTATCATTCCTCTAAATATTTTAGAAACCATATCCTTATACGAGGAAGGTGAAATTAATCCAGCACTGACAGAAGGCACATGATGATCAATTCTCATCCCAAAACTCATACTCTAAGTATGTTCTTAAGCCCTAAAATTTCTATTTCTCTTTCATTTGCTTGTGAATTAAATTATGAAACGAAGTAGGTACAGCTCGGGTCTCAGCCAAGAAAAGAGAATATTTTCAGGGTTCAAAGAGTTTACTGACAATATCAGGTCTTCTAATCAAGAGTCTATCTGAGACACAGAAGAAAGATGTAAGCCACTTGTTAATATCCTTTCTAGATTGTGAGACTAATGAAGACTACAATCCTTTGGTAATTCATCCTAACTAATCTTTAGAATGACACAGGTAATCTGACTATGACAGAAAGAGGCCCAATTATGGTCCCTAGAGAGACTGGTAGGAGTAACTTGTTCATTTCTAGACAAGCATATCCCGAGAGAAATAGACCTAACTAATTCTAATGAGCATTTCCTTGGTTCTTCATGCACAGAAGGTGTCTCATCTCCTTCTCAAGCTATGCCAGTGGTTATTTTGAGAGCAGAGAGTCAATAAAGTCCTTAAGCTTAAGACATTGTGCATATTTATTTTCAAAAACCTGCAATATTAGTTAAAAGTAAAGGGGTTTTGGGGTTTTGGGGTTTTGGGG